GACTGTTCTCAATGGTAGCAGATGACAGAACGAGGAGTAATGGTCTCAAGTTGCAGTGGGGGAGGTTTAGATTGGATATTAGGAAAAACTTTTTCATTAGGAGGGTGGTGAAACACTGGAATGCGTTACCTAGGGAGGTGGTAGAATCTCCTTCCTTAGAGGTTTTTAAGGTCAGGCTTGACAAAGCCCTGGCTGGGATGATTTAACTGGGAATTGGTCCTGCTTTGAGCAGGGGGTTGGACTAGATGACCTTCTGGGGTCCCTTCCAACCCTGATATTCTATGATTCTATGATTCTATGATTAAAGAACAAAATTGTCAGACACATAGATGAACATAAATTGTTGGGGAAGAGTCAACATGGTTTTTGTAAAGGGAAATCATGCCTCATCAATCTACTAGAATTCTTTGAGGGGGTCAAGAGGCATGTGGAAAAGGGGCATCCAGTGGATAGAATGTATTTAGATTTTCAGAAAGCCTTTGACAAGGTACCTCACCAAAGGCTCTTAAGCAAAGAAAGCAGTCATGGGATAAGAGGGAAGGTGCTCTCATGGATTGGTAACTGGTTAAAAGATAGGAAACAAAGGGTAGAAATAAATGGTCAGTTTTAGAATGGAGAGAGGTAAATAGTGGTGTCACCACGGGTCTGTACTGGAACCAATCCCATTCAACATATTCATAAATGGTCTGGAAAAAGGCGAAAACGATGAGGTGGCAAAATTTGCATGATACAGAACTACTCAAGATAGTTAAGACCGAAGCAGACTGCAAAGAGCTACAAAAGGAACTCTCATAACTGGGTGACTGGGCAACAAAATGTCAGATGAAATTCAATGTTGATAAATGCAAAGTAATGCACATTGGAAAACATAATCCCAACTATACATATAAAATGATGGGGTCTAAATTAGCTGTTACCACTCAAGAAAGAGATCTTGAAGTGACTGTGAAGTGATTCTCTGCAAACATCCACTCAATGTGCAGCGGTAGTCAAAAAAGCAAATAGAATGTTGGGAATCATTAAGAAAGGGATAAATAATAAGACAGAAAATGTTGCCTCTATATAAATCCATGGTACGCCAACATCTTGTATACTATGTGCAGATGTGGTCGCCCCATCTGAAAAAAGATATATTGGAATTGGAAAAGGTTCAGAAAAGGACAACAAAAATGATTAGGGGTATGGAACGGCTGCAATATAACGAGAGATTAATGAAACTGGGACTCTTGAGCTCGGAAAAGAGATGACTAAGGGGGGATGTGATTGAGATCTATAAAATCATGACTGCCGTGGAGAAAGTAAATAAGGAAATGTTATTTACTCCTCATAATACAAAAACTAGGGGTCACCAAATTAATTAATAGGCAGCAGGTTTAAAACAAACAAAAGGAAGTATTTTTTCACACAACGCACAGTCAACCTGTGTAACTCCTTCCCAGTGGATGTTGTGAAGGCCAAGACTGTATCAGGGTTCAGAAAAGAACTAGATAAATTCATGGAGGATAGGTCCATCAATGGCTATTACTCAGGATGGGCAGGGATGGTATCCCTAGCCTCTGTTTGCCAGAAGCTGGAAATGAATGACAGGGGATGGATCACATGATGATTACCTGTTCGTTTCATCCCCTCTGGGCCATTTGGCATTGGCCACTATCGGAAGACAGGATACGGGGCTGGATGGACCTTTGGTCTGACCCAGTATGGCCGTTCTTATGTTCTTGGACAATCCTAGATACAAAGCTCCCTCCTCTGGCCTGCACCTGCCATATCGGTCACTTCTTCACCTGCTTATCCTGGAGTCAGCATGAAACTTACCTCCTCGCACTCACGGCTATCATTTCAGATATTCTGCAAAACAGTGACTTTCACTCCAACATATGCATTTGTTATCTACAAACTAGCTTTCTGTGACTTTCATTAAAAAACCTCAATTACTTTTTATACTTCTATTAAATACTCCTGTCTCTCTCTCTCTCTCTCTCTGAAAGTACAATCAGGCCCAACTTCTGGATGAGCTGTATCTTATTACCATTACTCACCCTACCACACGTGTTCAAAGAAAAGAGCAACTATATATACCTGTTTCTCTTTTTCCCCCTTCAGACTGATCTGATTTGGACCCTTAAATTTAATTTTAATTATTGATAAAGACAAGCTGCTGTGAATCAGCTGTAACGGAGAACCGGAAGGATTTCTTTGAGTCCCATCAGAATGACATCATTCACTATCTGCTCCCAAATCACCACAGACTTGGATGTTTCATTCAAGCTGTGCAGACTTATTCAAATTTAATTTGTGGCCAAGAAGGAAACAAATCACTGAGAAAAGATATCAGACATATTAGGACATCAGATTCCTACTTTAGCAGGGCCCACTACTCCCTTTTCTTCTGTCAGTTCTTGAAAATCATTTTCAAAAGCAGAAACAATGGGGATGCAACAATGGGGATTGATTTGTAACCAAAATGTCAGTTTCAAGTTCTACTAGTTGTTCCTTATAACTTCATCACTTTCTGCTTTCTGATTTGCTTAGCTGTGTATGCTGGCTCAGTCTTAGAGACTAGTACCACTATCATGCTCTTCATATTAATATTACGGAAAACTTGCATTTTCTGCTGATTGTACCAATTTCTACCAAAAATAATTGCAAAATTACTAAGTTAAAAAGGTCCCATTTCTGGAAACCTTATATAATATTTCACTTTAAAAAAGCCACCATTTCAAAAAAATCCAACCCAAAATTCAGTTTTAAGAACCAACAGTGAAGGGGAAACAACAAACCTGGTCTAATTTTACAGGAATATTTTCTCCTGTTATTACTGTATGGTAATGAAACTATGAATCTGGATTGATTTTTGAAATGCCTATTTAGATTTTGCTTACTTAAATTACTTAAAGAGTGAGGTGGGATTTGATAGCTGCTTTCAACTACCTGAAAGGGGGCTCCAAAGAGGATGGCTCTAGACTGTTCTCAATGGTAGCAGATGACAGAACGAGGAGTAATGGTCTCAAGTTGCAGTGGGGGAGGTTTAGATTGGATATTAGGAAAAACTTTTTCACTATGAGGGTGGTGAAACACTGGAATGCGTTACCTAGGGAGGTGGTAGAATCTCCTTCCTTAGAGGTTTTTAAGGTCAGGCTTGACAAAGCCCTGGCTGGGATGATTTAACTGGGAATTGGTCCTGCTTTGAGCAGGGGGGTTGGACTAGATGACCTTCTGGGGTCCCTTCCAACCCTGATATTCTATGATTCTATGATTCTATGAAATTTAAAACTATAAATAAGCCTGGAACAAGTCTCTACACCCACTGAGGGCAGGTCCTCCGTTAGTATAAATTCCCATAGCTCTGTTGACTTCAGTTGAGCCTGACCATTTATACCAGCTGAGGCTCTGTCTCATGGTGTCCAACCATTTCAATTTAAGGGCCAAATCTTATTTCAAGAAGATTAAGGTGCCACAATCAATATTCTGCCCTGTCAGCTATCTTTACACTGCTCATGTAGTGCAAAGCGATCGGAAACCAGCACCACCAGAAAACAGGTCCCCTGCTGGGGATTCCCTTGGCCTGGTGGAGTCCTGAGTAGGAGCAGCTCAGAGTGGGTGTACAACCTGTGGGGAGGAGAAGTGAATGGGATGCTCCACATTCTGGCTATCCCCACCTAGTGTATGGGTCCCTAGAGAACTATTGCCAGTTAGCACATAGTAAACATGCCCTAGACTGCTAAAATCTTCACTGGACCTGGTCCACTGAATCTGTCAGCTATAACCATTTGTTGGCTCTCGGCTCTCTTGGGCGTCCCTGTGTAGAGATTCAGATTTGCCCTCTCTCCAATCTCCTTCAGCCCCAATTCTTCCCCCAACCTGAGGCTCGGGGTTGGAGAGCCTGAGAGACTATTTACTGGGTCAACATTATTCACACATGGAATTTCTTTAGGGTTAAAAGGGGAATAATGCCACAGCCATATCAGGTGTGAATGAAGAAGGAAAGCATGCTGAGCAGCCAGCACTCCCCCTCTTCTCTACATATCCTCCTGATGTGGGGCCCCTCTGTTTGAGAAAGAGAAAGAGAAGATCAGGGAACAAATAATCTTGCCAAATACAGAAGATACAATAATGATGCACATCTGTATCCACTGTCTGAAAAAATATTCATTTAGGTTTTAATATCTTTTTAGTGAACCATAAAATAATTGTCAATGAAAAAGCTGCTTAAGATTCTTCTGACGAACTCTCACTATTTACAGTGAACCTGAGATACCATCTCTTCCTGTTATCTGTCCAGGACCTCACAAGACTTCCTGGGGCCTTGCATTCAAAATCTGTCACAAATTCACTCAACAGGTTCATAAACCCTACTTTGATAAAACTAAGCTTTGAGTTTGAAAGACAATTCTGAACCAGGCCAGTTTCACATGATTATCCTTTCCTTTCTCATGAACATTTCTCAAAGCAGTAGGGCCAAAGTCTCAGCTAGTGTAAATAAAGTATAGCTACACTATACTGAAATCAATAAAGATACACTGATTTGCACTAGCTGAGGATCTGGTCTCTAGTCTATATCCATTATAAATCTAATTGGCTGCTTCGCTAAAGAAATTCTCTCTTTCTGGCAGCAAAACAACTTGGTCTGTTGAAACAGCTCAGAAATCACATTTCCATATGGTACCTTATATATTAAAGCACTCATATCTGACACTGGGGCTGATTGAATGTCGAAGGGTCTTTTTGCAATATAAATTAGTTTTAGTTGCTATGGGCAGTTACCATGAATGCATGTCTTCTGTACCCTTTATATAGCACTGGTTTCAAATCATTGCTGAAATTTACAGAGCAAAAGTTATTTTGTTAAGTTCACTTTGGTTGGGCTAACTGGTTTGCCTGGAAAGGAGCTGAGGAGGAAATGATTTGAACTAGTTTATAATTTTTACTACTGTAAAGTATGGACTTGAAAGTGAACTATATCATTTCCATACGCCTTATTGATATCTCTCGACTCTTACCTGGACAAGGCAAGATGTTGCATTCCTGGTACTCCAGAGATGGGCCCAGACATGGAAGACCCCCGTATTTGGGCTCAGGATTGTTGCAGACACGTTTGCGGTTGCGAATACCTCTGCTGCAGTCTCGACTGCACTGAGACCATGGAGTCCATGGTGACCAGGCTCCATTAATTGTATGAGCGGAGTATCGTCCAGAACGCAAGAAATCCCCTGACAGTCCTAAAGAATTAAGATTGAAAGCAGATCATGGGATTAAAGACTATCACCTTGAAAACAAACATTTTGTCTTTATATTTAATCTTAATCTTTTAATAAACATTTTTGGTACTCGTTTGGCTGCACAACCCCATAATTCTATTTCACTACCTTACCTGACAGAAATCCCATAAATCCTCCTATGGTGTCTGCAGCTGCCATTACATCACAGTAGAAATGAACCAATACTGATAACCCTGCTCAAATTTTAGAATCAAATAATAATGTAATGAATTTCCATGAAAAAGTCATTTCATGAGGAAAAGTATTTTCCCCATTTAAAATTGCACTTTTCAGACTCTTCTTCACTCAGCTGAAGTGCTAAGACACACCTGACTACGGCAAGTGAACCATTCTCATATGCAATGAGAACAGTGTGCTTCTTGGTTAAATCAGCCAGCAGGAAAATGAAAACACGTTTCAAACCTTTTCTAAACTTTTTTCCTTGTCTGTTATCTTTTAAAGTGAATTTAGTGCTGAGAAAAGGTGCCAGATTAAACACTCAAAAGGTACAGTGTAGGCAATGGGTGTGGAAGCTTGCTAACAGCAACATTGCAAAATATGCCTCAATCCCCACCTGGATGAACCACTTCTAAAGGTCATTTCAATCCACTTTAGGGCTTGATCCTGCCTGGGAAGGAACTCCCTCAAAAGTTCTTAGCATAGAACTTAACTTCTGAGCCTATGAGCTGCAGAGAACTGCTCAGTGACTGTGTACATCTGCAATGTATGGCAGTGATATCAGCCTCTGACTGTATTAGGGTAATTCTTCTGAAGTTTCCCAGCATTACTAACATGGTTCACCTCTATTAATATTAGCATCATTGGGAGCCCTACTGTAGATGGATCATTGGCTGCTGCCACCATTTTAAGTACTGGTTTGATTAGAACTACTCTGAGCAGGCTAGATGACACGGTGCTTAAAACAGCTGTCGGAGCTAGGACTTGTCTACACTAGGACTCCCAATACTGCTAACATAAGTGAAGGTGCACCATGTCATCAATACTGGGAAATTTTTGAAAAATGTTCCTAGAGTAGAATGGGCTCTAGACTCACATTCAGGCTGTAAGCTCACTCTCTTTGGGTGAGTTAAATAGTGTTAAAGTAGTAACAAGTACGTTTAATCAACTAATAAAAATATATTATGAGTCACAACTGAGATTGAAGAGATGTTGCCCTCTAGTAATCTTAAACTCAAACCATACTAATACAAGTACCCTAAGCAAATGGACTGTAGCAAGCACTACATTCACTGCGTCCAGCGGGCTTCACTCCAAGCTAGGGCATGAGATCTTTGGCTGCAGTATGAAACCCTGTTCACAATGAACTGTTTGTTAACTGAAACAGTTGTTTTGTACCAATGGAAGCACAAACAGTTCAATACATCCACAGTATCCATGCTGAATTAGGTTAAAGACACTTGCAATTACCACTACACTTGCAATTTTGCCTTGTGTCTACACAAATTGCTCTGCTATACCAGTTGTGCTGCAATGAACTCCTGGACATGATTAGCTGAAAGAGTATTAAAAATACTTATGTCCCACCTCCACCACAGCTTCAAACATTAGTAACACTGTTATACCTGCACTTGTGATGCACCCTACTGAATACAATTACAATATTCCTGGTATAGATGGGGCCTTAGAGACTTTTATTCAGTACACAATAACAGTGGTCAATATTGAAATAAATGATGCATTGACAGACAAATAGGTTTGGTTTTATCTTCATTTTGTGATGAGAAACTGTTCAACTCAGCTGGTTAGAGAGTATTAGTAAATCCCCAAAGCTGTTGATAAAATCCTTCCACTGGGCAATTGCTGAGAACTATTATTTCTTTCCCTGAACCAGCTCCTATTGTGCAAAGATATTATCAACAGATTTTATGAAACCCGATGCAGATTTGAATCCAGAATGGTAGAGAGCATAGGGAAACAGTGTGGAAGTTAAGAATGCTGCTTCAATTCCTAGCTCCATCAGTGACTTTCTTTATGAGGTTGCCCAGCTCAGAAATGCCAGGTTTATACACATGATGAATGGCGCTTAGAAGAGGGTACCACAACTTCCCACCCCCACACACACTTCAACCCCTGAATTCCAAATGGTACCACTTCAACCAAAGGGCTAACAGAGGCATAAATCATGGCAGAGCTATTCTCATTTAGATTACATTGGTCAGCATTTCTCTAGATAAAATGTTGCAGCACTGTATCATTTTACAATAGCATTAGAACGAACTGGAGATCACTCTGAGGCGGGGGAATTTTCAGTCTTAAGGGAAATGAGTGACCTTATTTCACATTTTTGCATTAACACGTCAGATTTCTTGGAGTAATGCCAGAAAAATTCTTTAAGTGAATCCTCAGAGGGACCTTAGTGCCCAAACATAATAATGTACAAAACAACTGTTTTAGTGGGAAGTTCTAGCAACAGCTAACATTGCCATGTGTCTCATTCTTTTCAGGGTGTTAAAAGAATATGTTACAGTTAGCACTCTGTCTACAGCTTTACAACAACTTATGTGGCGGTGGGATTCACAAAGGTATTTAGGTGCCCAACTCATTGATTCCAATAGGAATTGGGTGCCTAAATCCCTTTGTGAATCCCATCCATTCACAGTCTTGTTGAGCTTTCCCTTTAGACAAAGGCTACAAATTACAACGACTGACCATGTTCATTTGAATTCCAGACATACAGTATAACACAGAAATATAAGAAAATGAAATTAACTAGAGTGCAACTATTGGCCACTGCTGTATATTTTAATTCAGTTTCCTGCAAACAGTAGGCATTATCTGTCTCCTTGTAAATGTGAAGATACTATTTCACAATGACATTATTAAGGGAGTGACATTTTTCCACAATTCCAGCATATTCCTGCTTTTTACACTGTGCATCTATGCAAGATGCATTACATTCTGGGCACCCCTGGCTCACATTTTTCATAGATTTCAAGGCCAGAAGGGACCATTGTGGTCAGCTAGTCTGACCTCATATATAACACAGACCAAAGAATGTCTCTGAATGAATTTGTATTTGGACTAAAGCATATCTTTTAGAAAAAACATCTCATTTTGATTTTAAAATTTCCAGTAATGGAGAATCCACCACTACACTTGGTAAATTGTTCCAATGGTTAATGACCCTCACTATTCAAATTTATACCTTATTTCCAGTTTGAATTTGTCTAGATTCAGCTTACAGCCATTGTATCTTGTTATACCTCGTCCGCTAGCCTGAAGAGTCTGTTATCAAGTATTTGTTACCCATATAGGTAATTATAGACGTCTTAACCTTCCCTTTGTTAAGATAAATAAATTGAGTTCCTTACTAAAAGGGATGTTTTCTAGTCCTTTAAACATGCTCATGGCTCTTTTCTGAACCTTCTCCAGTTTATCAACACCCTTCCTGAATTGTGGACATCAGAACCGGACACAGCATTCCAGCAGCAGTTGCACAACTGCCAAATACAGAGGTAACATAACCTCTCTACTCCTACCCAAGACTCCCCTTTTTATGCATCCAAGAATCACATGATCCCTTTAGACCACATAATTGCACGGGGAACTCATGATCAATTGATTATCCATCACAATCCCCAAATCTTTTTCAGAGTCACTGCTCTCCAGGATAGATTCCTTGTTCCTTGATGTACACATTTACATTTAGCCATATAAAAATGTGTATCATTTTCTTGTGCCCAGTTTACCAAATGATCCAGATTGCTCTGAACCAGGGACCTGTCCTCTGAATTATTTACCACTTCCCCAGTCCTTGTGCCATCTCCAAACTTTATTAGTGATGATGTTATGCTCTCTTCCACATCATTAATAAAAATGTTAAAATAGCAGAGGGCCAAGAACTGATTCCTGCAGGACTAACTAGAAACACACCCGCTCAATGATCCCTCTCCATTGACAATTACATTTTTAGACCTATCAGTTAGCTTGTTTTTAATCCATTTAAATGTGTGCCATGTTAATTTTATATCATTTGTTAATTTTATATCATTCTAGTTTTTAAATAAAAATGTCATGTAGTACCAAGACAAATGCATTACAGAAGTCTAAGTCTATGGCATCAGCACTATTACCTTTATTAATCAAACTTTTAATCTCATAAAAAAAGATATCAAGTTAGTTTGACAGGATCTATTTTCCAAAAGCCATGCTGATTGGCTTTAATTATATTACCCTCCTTTAATTTTTTATCAATGGCATCTGTATCAGCTATTCCATTATCTTGCCCAGGATCTATGTCAGGTTGAGAGGCCTATAATTACCCAGGCCATCCCACTGACCCTTTTTAAAAGTGGCACAACATTAACTTTCTTCCAGTCTTCTGGAACTTCCCCAGTGTTCCAAGATTTATTGAAAATAAACATTAATTGTTTAGCCAGCTCTTTTAAAACTCCTGGATGCAAGTTATCTGGACCTGCTGATTAAAAATGTCTAACTGTAGCTACTGTTCAACATCATCATGAGTAACTATGGGAACGGAAAGAGTGTCTCATCATAATATGATATGACTACATCATGTTTTTTCCCCAAACATAGCCAGAAATATTTATTAAACATTTCTGCCTTTTCTGCATTATTACTGATAATTCTACCATTTCCATCTAGTAATGGACGAATACTGTTGTTAGGATTCTTTTTGTTCTTAACATACTTTTAAAAACTTCTTATTGTCCTTAACTCTGCTGACTGTAAATTTCTTCTTGTGTCCCTACACTTCTCTTATCAATTTTCTACAATTCCTAAGATATTACAGGGGCAGTGGCAGAGCTGGGAACAGAAGGGTTCCAGTCCTACTGCATAGGTTACTTTAAAGACCTTTCCTGGTATATGAAATACTTGCTAACTTCCTCATGATGAAGAATGGACAAGTGGGCAACCAGCCATCGCAGGAGGGAAGAGTGAGCCAGCTGACAAACTCCTGAAGATGGAACAGGATAGGA